TCCAAGCTGGTTTTTCTCCATTTGCGCTCAAGACTACGAGTTTCTTTCTTGAGAGAATGGGTATTACTGTTGTACCATGGCGCAGTACGTTTTTCTCTAACCTTTTTCAACGTAGTTAAACATGTAGTTAAGTATATCATCTAAAGGGAATGTTAACATAGTTACAATACATTTGAAATGGATTATTTAATCTATAAAGACATTTGGGCAATACATTATAAATACATTTGGTATATATTCATTATATATTAATCTTACATTTTGAATAATTAATGTGTATTTTCTATGCATGATGAGTATATTTAAAAGTGTATGAAAGATGGTTTCAACTGTACTGCAAGTGAAAACTTTTTTACAGAGAAAATATGTTAAAAGCACATTTTAGTTCATATTCATGGTGTCCCGAAATAGAGTTGAGTACACTTAGATGATCTTATCTCTAGAAGTACTAAAGAATCAGTTTTGGCATATAAAGTACAAAAGTAGTGCGTGAAAATCAAGCACTTTAAGTACAGTAAGGAAGTGTACTGAATAAAGTGTATTTTACTGCACTCTTTTGGCCTGGGATGTGAATGTGGGTCTGCAGCGCCACCGTGTGTTGAAGGACAGTGTCTCCTCTGAGCTCATCTAGAGACTTTACCCTGAAGCTTCAGCAGTTTAGAAACAAGTCAGAAAAGTCCAAATAAATCACTCATTTACAGACATGTCTCCTGCAACGCTGTCATAACACTGCATTTATAACTGCACGTTATTATTCTGGATCAGAATCATAAACTAACGTTCTCGTAACGTTAGAGAGAGATTTTTGGAAAGGCATTAATGCCTCAACATGTGTAGTGCAGTAAAACAGTTTTTACACAGGAACATGTGAATGCAGAATATCAAAGCACGTGACATGTATTGTTGAAAAAAATGCTAAAGTGTTTTTTGTCACTTTTATCTGATGTTAATGCAATACACACATGTGAGTGAACAAACAGCGCCAGGGGTGTGTTTCCTGAGACACGGGAGCGCGTTCATGTGTGTGTGTGTGTGTGTGTGTGTGAGAGAGTGTGTGTGTGTGTGTGTGTGTGTGTGTCAGAGTGTGTGAGAGATCGGACTCATGTGTGTGGAACGGGCTCATCTGCTGCTGCTGCTGCTCGCCTCAGGTCAGTGTGTTCTTCATCTTCATCATCATCATCATCATCATCCTCATCATCAATATCTACACACATTCAGAATGCAGACGTGTATAGTTTTGTAGGTTTTGTTGATAACGGAGCGTTCCCGCGGCGTTAAAGTCTCTCTGTTCCTCTGCTTTACTGTAATGGTTTGTCCGCCTCTATTGTTTCATCTGTCTCCTGTTTTTGATTTACGAATGAATTCTGTTTCCTGTGTTCTTGAGCTGAGCTGAGATCCTGCAGATATAATCCTCTGTGAGTGACAGCTGTCAATCATCGCGCTCTTTAATGGGCTTACCTGTGCACGTCATTCACCTGCAGGACATAGACATCTCAGACATCAGAGACAGAACGACTTCATTCACCGAGTGCTTTTTGTTCTTGTTTATATGAGCATTTATACAGGCGTCTATCAAATATGCAACACGTATGGATAAACGTTTAGCAGCTAAAAATGAACGTTCTCAGAACTTAGGGAAGGTTCTCTCGGGATTCTGAAGAAGCATTCTTCCTGTAGCATTAACAGAGTTATTTGGTGTTTGATAATCTTCTTAAAACGTTAACACACAACCGTTATTTATACATGATTTATAGAATGGTTCTCTGAAACCTTTTAAGAGTCAGTGTGTGTGTGATTGTGTGTGTGTGTGTGTGTGTGAGAGAGAGTGTGAGTGTGTGTGTGAGAGAGTGTGA